ACGTGAGTTTCCGTCCTTACGCAGCCGCAATGCGACATACGGGCACGGCTCCGTCCATACGTTTTTGCGAACTAATGTGGTGAGTTCGCGGATGGACTGTCCGTCTGTCGACATACGGACAAAGGCGGAATGGGCTGCCTATGTGCGAGTGGTGTGAGATGATCAACATATGCGTCTTTGGCCATTTCAACGCTTGGAATCGACAGCACTATACTAATTCAAGTCTATTTTTTCACTGCTGCCCTCCGGAGAGGTCTGACCATGGTGAGGATGCAATCTTTGCAAGTGATTATTGTGACCGTTCTCACATCCTCTTCTCTTGCCCTAAATTTTAGCACTTGTGGCAGCAACTCACTAATGATGTATTGGATCGCTCCTCCAGATGCAGCTCGTGGTCATGGGACATCCTGGCCTCACCACCGTGTTATCCCTATCTTGCACGCTTCCTGACTCTTGCTCATCACACTTTGATGGCCATCCACTGAGGCTTTTGTTTCAATATCGCAAAGGAGTAGTTTAGATGTTGACTTCATGACTCAAGAGTGGGCTCATCAGGGACTCTCTAGCACCACTTCCCATGTATTGCACCACCCCATAGGCAATCTTAGGGGGGTGACACCATGGGGTGCGCATCTAGGTTTGTATGGTGAGTGAGAGAGGCAATTTGGCACCAAGAGTTAACTACAAACAGACAATACAAAGTATATAGCTCCCAAATTTAATCGTTCCATCGTTCGGTGGGCCCATTTAAGCATCGATACAAAGCCATGAATATATACCCAACAAAACCCTAGGTACAATGAGAACACCCCAAAGGCAGTATAAAATGCCATTACTCTAAATAGTAAAGGTCTCCCAAAGTCCCCAAAGTCCCGAGAGAAAAGTACATCTTTCCTACTCCAACCTAAAGAATTGCACCCCAACAACTTGTTATGAATCTCGAAGCGCACCGCTATCTATAACATCGAGAATTCATAACGCCATGCGTGCTAATCGATATGGGATTGAATGCTCAATGAAGATCATGACGACATTACATTATGGGTTCATTTGATTGACTATCTGGATCTTATGGGCTTTTACATTTCTCTACTAGGATTCTGTTGCGCGCCACGGTGAGGGGGCACGCAAAGGGGTTGTTTGATAGGGAAACTGGTTACCCAGTGCGGGCACTCGAAGGCCATTAGTCCCGGGACCCAACACCGGATCCCAAGTACTACGTACTTGGGACCACACCCGGGCACCAGCACTATAGTACTGGCAGCCACCGCCCTGGTCTGGGTTATTATTATTATTGTTAGAATACGATATCCGAAGTCCCATCGGACCGGATATCGTATTATTGCCCCATGTACCGTCTAAACCGGTACAGATTCTAGGATATCTGGACTTGTGGAATTTTAGAACATAAGAGCTCGCCGAACATGGGGATTATAGGTTTTGGGGATATTGGGATATCAAATACATTTCTGTTGATGCTACATTCTGACAGTAGACACTACATTTTGGTGACTTCATTGCTCCCAGTCAGCAACCACCTCTATACATAAATCTCTTTACGCAAACATCTCTTTATTTTACTTTTGACATACATCGCCGAAAGGTGGCACAAGCTGTTGACATCATGTTTATATTGTTGAGAGCAAAGTCGGATTTAATAAACGTTATGTAATTAAAAAATTCATCATCATTATTATTATCATCATCATTTTTTTAAAGAACAAGGCAATAAGGTAGCCGTCAGCATCCTAGTTTGCCCAGTGAAGTATAATCTATGACCAGTCTGTTGAAATCTAATGCTAAACACAAACAAAGTCTATGAGTCTATCAACTCCTAATGTTGCGCACAAGCTTAGTGTGGGGTACGCTCTGCCTTCAAGGCAGTGCCTTGGTCTCCTAGATCGGGGGACGCCTTGCCCAGGATATGGTTATGATACCCAAAGCGGAACTTATCTTATTACTTCCTCCGTCCCGCATTAAATGTCCTCTATTTGAAGTACAAAATTCATTATAAAGAAAAGCTTCAAAGGTACAAAACAAGGTCAGAATCAAAAAGATTGGGTCCCAAACCCGTAACCACCAATTTTTGACAGAAAAAAGTTAGTCCCACTCTTTGAAAGGCACCCTCGAAATTGCCGTTGGATTCGGAAAAAAATGGGCATGCCAATTCTAGTTTTGCTGCATATCTGCATGGCTCTGGGTCACTCCCGTCCCGGGCAACCAAGGGGATGGCTTCACCACTGCTGCGGTGAAGGGCGACATCCCTTGTGTAGAATAGCGTTGGTCCAACACGGCCGATGGTATTTGGATGGTCGTTGCTGAAGGCCATCGTCGCAACATCGACGACGCCAGAATTCGCTACGACCCTAAATCCAAGATGCAAGGACCTGCCACCAAGTGAATAAGCCAAGATTCAGGGCGCTCAAGCCTGGGCCGTATGTGCTTTACCACTTCAAAGTATTTGTGTGGCTTTGTGTGGGCATCTTGCCTCAATTGATCCTTGAATCGAGGCTTTCCCGGGCAGCTTGGCCCACGATCCATGAGGTGCCACCACCAACAACCTCTTTTGTGCGGTCCACATTCCATCACCACCTACCTAGTTTCCGTTCGTGAAAGAGACATGGCGTTAGCCATCTAGCTGTTTGCCTCATGCCTAACCATTTCAAATTCCACAACAAACCCAATTTTGCCAATCTCGCAATGACAACAATTCACACAATCGGCCGCCGCTGAATGTGGTGCTAGGCTTCACCTGCTCTGTCGCCTTGTCAAGGGGTTTCAACATCACCCTTTGTTGTTTTGATGGCACCAACAGAGGACAAAAAGTCTTGGCCCCAAAAATTTGGGGCCGGAAGTTAGCTCTGGTCCACCAACCCAACACTGAATTTCAGCTCTAAGCTATGGCGAGCTACACAATCAGGGTCTTCAGAATGCAATTTCTATTGCCACACTTCCTCACAAGCACCATGCCGGTCTTCTATCCCAATGGCGTGGATAGTTTTGTATGGGCAGCTCTGTTTCGCCGCCGTGAATGTGTGCTCCTCGAAACAGCGAAAATGGCCGTTTTCGCAAAATCGTTGAAAAACCGATGGGTTTCTGGCAAGAGGACACTTGCTACCAAGTACTGCCAAATCATCAATATTTACCAGATTGACATCAAATTTTGACCGTATACTCTTAAAAGGTAGATACAACTTTGGACAACATTTCATTTGAAAAAACTATAATATATGATGGAGAAATGATGCGCCAAATTCGTAGAGGACATTTAACATGAGATGGAGGAAGTATATTATATTATATGGGAGCAGGCCGGGGTGGCCCTACCTAGGGCCCTGTAAGGACCTAGGTGCCCGGCGAGGTGGCTCTGCGGCTTAAAGAGGGCAAGCGCCCCACTGAACTAAGGTTGTACCACCTAACGCCTAGAAGCGATTGTGGATGATAATACATCAAAAGAAACATGCCACTTGGCAAGCGGAAAATAAAGCGAAAATTGTTTTGCATTGTGACGTCGAAAAACAACAAAGTGGCTTTGATGGATGATGTCATAACCTTGGTTGTGGAAGAGAAAATGGATCTTGTCTTCGGGAGCCAAGTGGCATAAAAGTCACAATCGCCTTGAAAATTCTGGAATAGATTGTCGCACTTGATGTCGTTGTTTCTTTACTTCTAGAAAATGCACCCTGAATGCACCCTGAGAGTGAAATCGCTGGAAAAACATCCTCAAGCACATAGGTTGCAATGGCGACAGGAATCGTTCATACCAATAGACTGGCTTGATGTGTCCATATCATCGCTGAATCCTTGAAGATTGGATGGAGAAGACACTGGCAATGTGGACACGTTTGTAGATCCATTGAAAAAGATCGTACGTCAACTGGTGTAGCAATTGTTGAACTGAGATTCGGCCCAAATGGATGGGAAAAGGCAATGATGAGTCCATACCACGATCGAGGATTGGCTGAGAATTGTTGAAACCCGGATTTGAAAATGGCGCTATGAACCCGAGCGTTGGGAAGTTCCACCATTCGATTCCAATGTCGCATCAACTATCTCCATAACAAAATTCTAAAGGAAGTGCTCCCATTTCGGCATAAATAATCCCCATTGGCATGTGGCCAGGAAGACAAAGGACTTGGTGTAAAAATTGAGCCTGGACCTTCTCCAACATGTGATGGGGTATGGTGGTGATGGGGACCACGTCAATAAGTATGGAAGTCGCAGTCCATTTTCTGATTGACGCAAATCCAGCAAGCATCCACGTGGTGATTTGGATGTGCCATGTGCGTGACCAGGGACACAGCACCACATTATTGCACAGACCCACTGCCGCTGATGCAAGGATCACGGTTGGCAGGGCCCACTACAATGGCTGCCATCCAATTTGATGCTCACATGCGACATGGCGCCGTACCAGCATTGAAAAACATTTAGGTTACGACCTATTTGGAAGTGAGATTGGCAACGACCGGTGCATATTCGTCCAGCTTTATAAAATTTGAATATAGGCACGACACTGACCCACCAGCATCAGGCAGTCATCTTGTTGAGAAAGAACAATCAGTTGCTTGGGAACCTTAGAGGCAATGTCAGCAAACGTTTAACACCAACAGCCATTCCTGTGCTACTGATCGAAAAATCCTTCCATCTCTAATGCTCTTTGGAAGTTGTATCATTTCGCGCAGCAATCATGAGGCCCTCAAGCGTCCTCAGAGAGTTCCTAACACCATGGGCAAGAAGCTCTCGTCAGCTGTTGCTGTACGTGGAACACGATCAGTGTCTGCTAATACATCCACAACCTCCGAAGAAACGACACTGCACATTATTCTTCTGATTTCGCCCCACTGTCAAATGCTCTAACCGCATTGCAAAGCGGAAAACATGGAAGCAATAGTGGCTGGACATGCGCCAATCGCCTTGAGAATATCATGAGAATATCAATGCGCACATGCCACTGTGGACACCACAAGCCGACAAGCAAAACTGACGTTTTGCAGTGCTTATTCAGACATTGAGAAACCACCCGCATCCCACAGAAAAGAAAAACCGTGTTTGTTTACCAGAGTCTCCACCACTGGGCCGTCAGACTTTATTGTGAGTGTTGCCGTGGCAGTGTTGAGGAACAGCCCGTGCGTCACCTGGCAACATCGATCGCCAATCTATGTAGGCTGCACAGCTGTGCTTGCAACTTCACAGGAGAAAAGCATTGCATCTTTCAACATGTGCCCATTCAGGAAAATGAAGATCCGGTGCAGCAGCAGCAATATGGACACTAGCAAAAGTGCATGACACTGCATTGATGGCGGTGCCATGAGTGTCACAGCTGCCAATAGGAGAGCAGACCAGCTGCCTGCGGTAACGCACAATGTTGTGCTGTTGGCACAGCCTCATGGCAGCACAGCCCTGCGATCGATCCTTGTGGACAACCTTTGCATCGGCTCGTCAGTGCATGCCCCCATGAGGTCCAGCATGTTGGCAACACTTTGCCAACTGGGAAAACGACTCGATTGAGACCCCCAATGAGGACAATAGTGAGATCTCAGGAGTGTGACAATTGGTCCAGGCGGATCGATTTCTTCATCTGGCATCTGCCATTTCCAAGTACGTTGGGAAACATTAGAAGCACATCACAAGAACTTGTCACATTCGTCTGCGAGTCTTTCAGCTGGCCACATGAACAATTGTGTTCTGCACAGGCACCACCAGCACAACCACATGTGGGCTTTGGCCACTGCCTCCAGCTAGCACACAAACTGCCAAGCATTGCTGTGCAGGCACCTGGTTCGGTTTAGTGTCTTGAAGCAAATCTAATCAAAGCAAAAACACACATTTGCAGCTTAAACAACAAGACTCACCACCCCTGCTACGGCCATGATCTCGTTGGATATTTTCTCATACTCGACCTCCTCGCCATACAGCTTGAGAGTCCCATCTGGACAAACACGTTTCATGGCTTGAGGCCTGCAGTTTGGTGCACTAACAGGCCCACTCACATCAACGATTCCACAAACAGCAAAGCTACTGTATCGCAACAAGTGCCTCTCGTCCTTCCTTTCTGTCTTGCCCTTTACCAACACGTGGACAACGCTGGCCCCAATTGAAGGGCATACGACCCCAAGGTGGCCACTGCAAGTTGGATGGGATAGGATAGGGACATTCTGCAACTTAGCGTTGAGCACTCATGGGATCGGATTCGCCACAAACACATCGGACCTTGGTTCATGATAGAGCACACCTAGCCTCGTGGGCTCTTATGGAATCTAATTCACACCAGCATACAGCCAACCTTGTTTGCTGCCGATCCAGCTGCACTTCATCCTGTTCAAAATGAAGCATTTGATGACAGAAGGCAAACATCAAGAACGCTATGACTATGGATGCATGCCCATAATTCACTCCTTGATACTGCTTTTCTTTGTTGTTGTGTTTTTATTGCCTCAGCATATAGCAATTCTGCGCATTGGTTGCAAATATACACTTCCTCCATCCCATATTAAATGTCCTCTACGAATTTTGCTCATCATTTCTCCATCATATATTATACTTCCTCCGTCCGGAATTAAATGAAACAATTTGTTGACTGACCACATTTTTATCATGTACTTCTTATTTTTCCTTCAAAATTGGACCACCGTATCTACTATGTGTTTGGACAATCCTGTCAAAAATTTATCGACAGAAAATGAGATTCAGACATATGGTAGTACTTTGAAACCAAGCGACTCAGCACCAGAATTTGAACATTCGCAGTCAGTCCCCACCCCACCAAAACCCAGCGCCCCGGACCCAGGAAAGCGCAGCACACGAGTGATGCCCTTTCCAGTGGTCTTCAAAGCAACAGAAGGGTGGAGTTGCCTTGGCGCTCGGGCTCTAGCCCAAAGATCGACACCCTTCGCAACGCACGATAGACGGAATTGGCACCTATGTCTGCGTACCGCCATCGATGGATGCTCGAAATCCCCCCAATCTTCCACAGCACCACACCGACATTCCTGGGATCCCCCACTGCCTAGAGGTCTCCTAGTGGCTAAAGACTAGCCGCAGGATATTTGCGCGCAACATAAGCTCTGTGTTTAGCATAGATCTCCGATTAAGTGCCTTCCAGATGCAAGCAACCCCTCTTTCCAAACAGGTTTCAACCCTGCCAAACATAACAATGGAGGGTTTGGAAGCTCTATTGAAGACCCCACGTGTTGCTATGGTGGCGTTCTTACGTCTTTCAATAGCACGGGCGAAGCTTAGTTGCAGCAGCGCCCTTGAAAGCGGCGTGAATGGAGCGCAAAGTGTTTCTCATGGCACGTGCCCACCACAGCCAGTTTCAACGATCTTCTGGCTGCCACGCAGCGAGGGCACGATCGCAATCTCCCAAACCTTCCGTGGTGGTCTTAGAACCCATGGCGTCCTCGCCCATGGTGGGGGCCGTTTCTACAAACGCCGTGATTGCGAGGTTCGCAGATTTCCGGGTCTCCGATCCGGAGCTGCTGTCCTCATAAGGCCACGGTGGCGATCAAGGATCGAGCGGTACAGAACCCGGTTTCGTGCTCTTCCTCCTTTGATAGGGACGGTGTCAACCTGCCACCAAGACGGCAGCAACAGATATCCACTCTGGGCTGCGCACCGTCAGTCGCAAGGCGACCTGGTCGAGGACCTGTTTTGAGGGCTGCTCGGCCAGACCTTGAGAAACCTCGACTTTCTGGCCTGAATCACAAGGGTTCAAAGTACTGCCATGTGGCCGATACTTATCCACTGTCCACAAAAATTTGGCACCACCTAGTAAATGTGTAGGCAGTGCTTTGGTCCAATTTTAAAGGAAAAATAACAAGTTCGTGATATAAATATAGACCCTTAAACAAACTGTTTCATTTATTTCCGGACGGAGGAAGTATATTCTTTAATAAAATTTTATTCAAAGCTGTATCTACCTTTTGAGAGTATACGGTCAAAATTTGAAGTCAATCTGTTAAGTGTTGATGATTTGGTAGTACTTTGTAGCAAGGGTCCTCTTGCCAGAAACCCATCGGGTTTTTCAACGATTTCGCGAAAACGGCCGTTTTTGCCATTTCGAGGAGCATGCGTTCGCGGTGGCAAAACTATCCACGCCATTGAGAAAGAAGATTGGCATGGTGCTTGTGAGGAAGTGCGGCAATAGGAATCGCGTTCCGAAGGCCCTGATCGTGTAGCTCGCCCTAGCTTATATGAAAATCATATGCAAAAATAGCAAAAATAGGAACTGGTATCTGGTCCTGCCAGCACACTTAAAGACATGTACCACGATTTTGATTGAGGCTGAAAGCCCCAGCGGTCACTAAGTGCCTGTCCAGCTCAATCTGGTGCAATCTGGTGCAGTCTGCTGTGTATGTGGTGTGTTTCCTGACTGGCACGCACCGAATCTGATGTCAATAATGTTGTGGCCCTCTGGGCTCAGGTATGGATTGTTGCCTCCCCTTGGATTCGCTGTCCCTTCTGTGGGCCGTCGCCTGTCACAACAAACACACAGGGTCAATCTTGTTCACATCCTGCCACACATATAGTGACACTGCAGCCTCAGTCGAAATTCTTGCAAAGCCACTCTTGCACAGTTCCATATCAATTTTACAGCCCCAGAATGCCCACCAAATCTCTGCATCCCCCAGGAATATGGTATCGATCTCTTCCGCTATGTCTTCCCAGTTATCCCCTTCAATCACAACAGGCAGCCATCCTCCAAGTCGTTCTGCCTGCACAGACAAATGCAAGAGCAGCACAAATTCAGCGCAATCGCCTGAAATGTACCGCAGCATAGTGTCATATATCTTGACATTGTCATCAAAATGGATTGTAAACACAAATGAAACAAGGCTTGCACAACAGCACATCGTCGCACATTGTGGCCTTTGTGGGATGTCCTGTTGCTTCAAGATGTTCCAGGCATCTTGCCATGGAATCTTTCAAAACATTGAGTGTTGCGCATCCACTGCCCAGTGTTCAGCCTTTTTGCAACAATCAACAGCTTTACCTGACCTTAGTCTCTGTCTGAAGCAGTGCCACAACCTCTTTGGCCCTCTTAGCAGCTAGTCGTGCTTTCATCAACTGGGGTTGGTGAGGCTCAGCCTGCCGTCCAGATATGAATGTGCCTGAGGCTGTGTCGATCTCATCCACTTCTTGGAACAAAACATCAACCTGCCATCCGCACATCCAACAAATGTTTCAGCAGTCACAGAACATAGAACACTTTAGGAAATGCGCCCATAAAAGGCACAGATTCATGGGCAGCACAGCTGCTGTAAGACATTAATGCACTGAAAATGGCCAAAGATGATCAACGCTGTGCAATACCTCATCTGTTTCTCCAATGCTTGTCTGTGGAAGGCCATGAAATGCAGCTTCGCTGGCTGCCACATCTGATGTTGGTAAGATCTTGATGTCCTAAGGAACAGAGACCTCTGGCTCAATGGAGTTGTCAACGCACAGGACCAAGATAAAGCACAAGTCACATATCGCATCTTGAGTCAGCAACGTATCCAAGAGACAATATTCTGACATGCCATGGTCAGCCCAGGGACATGCATCAGAGTGTTCTGCCAAGGATGTTGCAAGAGACAGCACAAAGAGATACAATTCTCAATTGAAACATTGTCTTCCTTCCACCAATTGCAGTGGCTACTAAAGTGTGCAGGACAGAGAAAAATATTCTTTTGCGGACAACGCAGTGGCAATGGGCACATATGCCCAAGCAGTCACGCTGCAGCACACAAAGTATCAACTTGTGACGGCACATTGACATACCGCACTCTTCCACATTGCAAATTTCAGTGCTAGGATTTGTCCCCACGGTTTTGAAACACTGTTATAGTTTTGGTGCTCTGCATCAAGGCATCGCTGGAGTGGCGACTCTGCGATCCTGGCGACTCTGGCGACTCCGAATGGCCTCAATGGCTGGTTTTCAGGTGCAGCAACTCATGCATCTGGGCTTGCCACTAGCCACGAGCAGTCCAGAGACACTGGCGTCACAGCTGCAGTTCTGGCCACGGTAGGGCGGGTTTTCAGACTGCTTCGGTTGCAGCACGGTCCCTAACAGAAGTGCGAACAGCAGCGGACCGATCTCCTTCAATGTTGCTTTTGGCCACTGCACAATTTTCTTGCCATCGTTGTGTCCTATTGCTCCGATAAAAAAGGCCCAATGTTACATTATACTGCAGAATGATTGAACACATTGCAGAACAAATGAACATAACAAAGAAGGACAGAACACAATATCCACACCTTGAGCAGCTTCACATCCACGCAGTCCTTCAGATAATCAAAAATGTTCCCTGTCTGCGAAACAGAATGCACAAACGCACGGAAACGATGTCAACCAACAACCAAACTCAGCAGGGACACTGAAAGAAATGGGCAACTGAAGGCATCAAGGCAATTCCAAACCATTTGCGATGCAATGCTGCAACAAAGGACTGGTAGAGTTGCAGGGAATCTATCAATTCTGGAATTGCAAGTACCTATCAGGGACATCAACATGCAAGGGCAATGTTTTGCCACACCAATATAAATGCACTCCAGAGAACTTCACTGCCACTCTACTTGGGATATCTAGAGGCATAGGTACACATGCAGCACTGCACTTCCAGAAGGATCTCTGGACATGACCTCCCAAGAAGCATACAGATTTCTCGATACAGTTGCACCAAATTGTCTTTGGAAACAGAATTTCGCCAGCACTATGAGCAGCAGAATATAGAGAGCTTGCCAGGGGGCTGGACAAGAGGGATCATGGCAGAGGCTGTAGACCCGATGGGATTTGATACCGTCATACAATGCTACAATGTCAATTCATGCACTCAAAACGGTCAGAGCCACAAGTGACACTGCACATCACAAAATGGCCTGCAATGGATGGCCTCTTTCTTCTGCCCATCCACTCCTTCTTTGACATAGAGGACTGTGGTTCGCCTTTTTGGGCACTGTGAGTTCCTTCCTTAGCAGCAGAACATCGGATGCTGTCTGATGATCTAACTCAACAGAGACACATGCCAGGACCACTGTGTTGTATCCACATTGTTGCAATTTCTGCAGTCACTGTGCCAATCCATCTCTGGAGGACTGCTGTGCTTGACACAGTCTGTGCAGCTTCAACGAAACACAAGGCAACGGTACTGGAGCTCTTATATGTGATGCAACATTCTCGAAAAAAATGCAAGCTCAAATCAAACAGGGATGGTCCCACGTGTTCTAGCTATTCTTAGTGGCAGCAAAGGTGCTCTGAAGCAGTCCATGTGGATGGAACCATCCTTGCCATCACCATAACATACACAGTCAAATTTTCCAGTTCAAAGAAAGAGGTAAGTCGAATGGCCTTGTTGTCTTGCAGGTAAAATGGGTGCACCTTGTCATCCAGTTGATAATATGCATTAAATTGTACATGCTTTGGCACGCAAGGCATGCATTGAAATGCTCAAGATGGTCTTAAGATTCACACCAGATTCAGTCAGCACTGGGTGGAAATACTGACCACTTGACCTGTGCCCAAGGCCACTACGCTGCCGCTCCTGACGTATTTGTCGACTACGTGGACAGCCGCAGCCCTGCACAGGCAGAATTGCCAATCACAATTGAAACAATAAGTGTAATATCCTTGCTGCATCGAGTACGCTCCAGTTAGGTAGGCATCAGTGGCAGAATCCACTTAGGCAAAGGCAGCATGCGGGATGCAGTTGTTGCCTAACATGCAGGCAGACAGCCTTGAGCTTTGGGACAGCAATCAGTTCAGGGCATTCTCCCAGTATGCAATTAACGTGGGGTCCATGTGATGGAGCCAGACATGAACAACGGTTTCCAATACTTAGAAGCAGACATTTTCCATATTTGACTAAGTTGTGAACTAGAGTGAATGCCAGAATTGAACCACAGATGCAGCATCCCATAATCTTCAACCGTAAATGGCTGCAAGAGCTTGTTCCGAGGGCACTGCGGACCTTTATCTTGTTTCGGCATCTGCGTTCAGCCGCGACACACGACATGCCTTGCCCCATGCCTTCACACATTGCATGTGAAGGCACATTGGCATCCAATTGTCCCCTCAGCCCCAACCACATCAGTGTGGCCCCAGCCCCAAAACAACTGCCCAGTGAGAGGGACATCAGCAAGAGACATTGGGAGTGCCAGATTCCCGCCAAATGCATTTATTCTCAATCAAAAACTTCGCCAGGGCCCACCTGGTTGCAGCATCCTCCCCCGGCCCATCTCCAAGGGAGGCAGCGGCACTCTCCAACCGATCCCCCGGCGACTTGCCAGACAGGGGCATCCCCACTGGCCTGCAGTGTCCACGAGCCCCCGCAAATCGGGCCCCGGCGACGCGCCGGCCAACAGTCAGGCAACGATCGCCGCCTCGCACGCAGCACTGGGGAAAGAGATCCGCTCGTCGGCAGCAGTGCGATGGCGCAGACAGCCTCCCCTGCGCACCTCCCGTCGAGCCCATGTAGGCGATCGCTGCAGTCCTCGCTGCGTTGGGCACAGGGGTGACCTTGTGCGGCGTGTCATTTTTGGTTAGTCCTTGGTCTTTTTTGGGATTGTCCGTCACTTGTTTCGACACCCTAAAAGCCCTAAACCACTGACCCACTGGCCCATGTTGGCCTTGTCAGCAAAAGAAGAAGGGATCCTTACGGAAACGGTGCGGGGACTAATTGTTCTCTTCTTGTGCACAACCGAATCTGATTCCCCTTCTCATTGCTGTGCGGGTTTCACGTCCAACATATCACAACCGGAGTTTCCTCCGCTGCTGTTTTGAGCCTAAGTCGGGAGCGTATTGGAAAATCATGCACGGTTGAGGCCCCTGTGTGTGCCATCCACGGAATGGCGTTGCACTTGTGCGCGGCGGGCTGGCGAGCTGCAGCTCAATCTGTTTGATTGCGTTGTCAGAACGTGAGAAAGCACGGCCACTGTAGCTACAAGGGGGGCCAGTTCCATCCACAACGTTCCTCCAATTCGCATTCCACGGGGCATGTAAGCAGAGGGCTCGCGGATCTACTGGGTTGATGTCTCCCAGAGGTTGCATGCCTTTGTGGCCGTGCAGGCTTTCATTGCGAGTGTATGTTAGTTTGTTGAACTTATTGTGCGTATTTTTCTTGTTGAGGTTGCGTTGCACAATTAGGCATTCGTTCCTTATCCATGCCGGGATGACATTCCATTATTGAAAGGCCTTCTGCGTGGGATGGTCCGAGCACCTCACCATTGTTGTCGCAAATGGGAAGCTGCTAATGCACACAAGGAAATTGCAACAGATTTCTGCGAGATGCCTTTGTCACTTTCTTGCTTGCAAGCTGCAGCATAAACTGCTTAACAGGGTCGACATCGGAAGAATGGGATAAGCGACGCATAAGGGAAAGTGCTACAGCAATCTGGAGGATTAGGGACTGCATAGTTTGATGGCTGGTGCCTTAAGTTACTCAAGCGGCGCTGAATCGATCCTATGATATCAGAGGTAGCCTTAATAGGTGTTTACATCCAGCTTTGGACGTGTGTTCCGAAAGACCATGGCTTTCTGCACTGGTTGTGTACTTGGTGCAATTTGCTGGCCAGTACTCTGCATCTCTTCCTTCTGTTGGGCCTGTCAAGTTCATTCAAGTATTTTTTACCGTGACGTTTAGTGCATGCTCGTGACTATCGACATGCCCATGAGAGGTATCGATTATTGGCAAGCCGGGGGAGCATACCAGCAGCTATGTGTTCAGGATGTCTGACTGTGACGGGAGACGTTAAGGTGGTCGAGATCTGGCCAACAAAATGTGTGGCTGAGGTGCCATAATCTGGCCCTACATTTGCTTGGAGATCCCACAGCAATTGTTACAAAGGGGAGGCAAAAGTGCTGCAAAACATTCGGCATGGTCCTGCTGTGCGAATGCCAATGGTCGCTCAAATCCTTTGATTACATTTGTCACATAAGCATGACAAAACACTGCCCTTGCACCTTAAGAGGCGATGTTGGGCATAAAGTCCGGATCAGAATTGCTGATCTTATTGCATTGTTTGTTCATTGTCACACAGAATCCCTACTCCCGAATCACGAAAACCCTCCCATCTCCATGACGAAAGTAGTCTCATGTCTCACACTCCGTTTTCTAGTGCCAATGGTCGCATCGTTCAATTCTCTGGCTGTGCACACTTTCGAGTCGCAGGGACAGGGATCGCATGGATCCATGGACGAGGTTGTGCTTTCAGTGAACTTACTGCTACTTTCAATGTGCTCACTATTGCAAGCACTGGGTTTGAGGAGTCCAAGCATCGTTTGTTGGCGCGGCACTGTTGCCATAGGTGGAGATGGACCAGCGACGAACGCATAGCAAAGGGTGCGAAAAATGCTGCAAACCTCTTGTTTTGGTGTGGGAGGAAGAACAATAGTGATATGCGGCCCGTTGAAAGCACATCACCCATCAAAATCTTGTGAAGCATGTGGTGTTTATGGCTATGCAAAGTGCAGGCAAAAAGGACATCATCACTGCAAGCAAACGATCTCAATGAATTGGGGTCGGCTGCCCCTTTACAAAAGCTGCACAACGGATGTTTATTCGGGTGAGGTCGACATCCTCGACGTCCACAAGGGGGTACACCTACTTCTCAGCCTATAGGATCAAAAAGGCAATTGGGCCAGCGCAGACTTGGCACGGCAGTGCCGTCCCTCCAACTGTCATGCATGACGTGCGATTCCCACTCACCAAAACAAGCGCCGTCTCTCACAGTGAGGTGCCCCAACACAACAAGAAGCACCTTAGCTTGGGTCATCTCAGCACCGTGTGCGCATTCCTCACAGCCAGGCGGGTCTGCACCTCGTCGTTTGGCAGCGACCTGACAAGTGGATAAAGATCTGCTGTTGCGTACCGCATCTTGGTCTTGGGATCCGTATAGGGCGCCTCGAAGCCAGTGAGGTCGCAGTATTTCTTCGCAGGGTAGATCGAAGGCCCAGCCTCTATGTTCGCATAGGTTGGCTCGCCTGGGGGTAGCTCGTCATAATTCTCCCCAGCGACGATCTGTTTCAGCCTCTTCCAGTATTTTTTCTTGTCTTTGGCGTGATCTTTTACTTTGAAAGGCAAGACTGAGGGCAGAAACCAGTCTTCTGCGCAAAATTCTGGTTGCTGGGGGCCAGTACGGGGCGGAGGGGTGGCGGCCTTTTCGCCCTCAAGGCCTTTGCTGGTCACCTCTGCCATCACGTTCTCAACGGACTTCAACTCCCCAGAGCTGTTGCTTCTAGAGTCAGGGTTGGGCAGCGTGCCCCTGTCAGGCAGCGGGTCTGAGATTGCTATCCGAGCCAAGCCGCTGCCGCACCACTGGGAGCTCGACGGGAGGGTGCTGGCTTCCTTGAGCTGTCCACAAAGGGGGCCAGAAAAGGATGCTGCACTCACACGGGCGTCATTGTTTTCCTTGCCTTTTTGGCATAGTGGCTGTCCATGGTGAGCTTCTGTGCATGTCGCTTCTGAGGAAGTTTGCTGTGTGGAAAAACCTGTGGGAGAACATACTCCTCTTTAACATCAGCGATTAGTGATCGATAATGCTTGGTCCATTATCGTGCATCACAGAGGAACTACCCAAACAGCAGCAACCCCTCCGGAAAAAATACACAGACCTGCCTCACCACAGCCCCACGTGACAATCTTGTCACAGGCTACAGAATTGAGTGGTGCAAGAAATCCCTGCATCAATTCTACACCTTGGCACCTCCCTTGCACAACCAACTGGGCAACTAGGGACATGACTGGGGCAGCAGATGGACCCTGCACCTATGGTGCAGTACATCTAAAAAGATCTGCTGTCTTTTCAGCAGTTCCTGCCCCGGGCATAGGGTGCACCAGAGACCAAAGAGACGAGGATTCAGCACCAAGCCTCCAGCACTAATAGGAAGCCCAGCAGACTGTGGCAACACAGGTGCATTTTTGTCCCAGCAAGGCAATACTGCAAGCACTGCTTGCACACATGCTTCCATACCTGCTTCCATACCAATGCAAACACTGGCCCACAATCTACAAACCATCACAGAGGCATGCTGCAACATGTGGCAGCCCCATGTTGCAAACATGCTGATGGCCTGGACAGCCTCTCCACCTTGTGCATGCCCCAGCTGAGCCATGGCATGGCAAGGTGGGCGCCCAGGCCCTTGCATGCCCCTATCAGAACATGGCGTGCAGTCTCGAGTGGGACGATCATGGCATGTCGTGATGTCATCATGGCATGTCGTGATCATGCACGCACTCACCAGCACCACCGCACCCAGCTCCCAAGCTTTGGCTGAGGCCTACCTTCTTTGGCACGCCCCCGTGCGTGTTGATCTGATCTGCCTGGTCCTGCTGCAGCTGCTGTTCGTATTCCTTGCTCTGAGCCATCCACACACTGTTGTCAGTGCTGTCTTATAAATTGTGAGAACTGAAAGTGTTCTGCCCTTGATGGGAGTGCAGGCATCTGTGTGCATATCTGTGGACATCTGCTGGGCTTCGATTGGCATGGATATGTGCACAAACAGAACATTGTTATTGTTTTGGGCACACCTTATCCACAAGCAATTTCACACACAAGGCTTCACTTGAATCCAGACAATATTATGCACTTGTTCTGTTTTGTTGTCTTGGTGTACTTAATTCTCTGCATTTGTCACTATTCAAGACTTCGAATGTTATCTCCCTTGTTCATTGACCAGATGTGTGCCTCTTGGTACCCAACACGACATTAAATGGAAACGGAAGGCCAGGTTGCTCCACCATTCAGTGCACCAGCTGCATAACTAACGGTGGCAACAGCATGCCAGAGTTCAACAACAGTGGTCAGCCCTGTTCAGTGCACAAGGGGAAGGGCAGAGTCTGCCTGGCAACGCCTTCATTGAACAAACAGTACATACATGGAACACTAACTTCTTGAGTGTATGTAAAACGCCCATCATCGTCTGCATGGTGCACAGACTTGTCTTGCAATGGGAATTCTAGTCAAAAAATGGATGGGTCAACATGCTCTCCCAGGAACAATCAAATTCTAAGCCAAGCTACACAGACTCAGCTGCAAGCATATCAGCTTTAGCAATGCCGATGACAGTTCTTTCCTGAAGGCTTGAAGTTGCAAAAGAAGCTCAGTGGTCTGGGCCAGGACTTGGAGTGCACAAAACACTACACCAACGGATAGTCGACAGAGGGCTTACAATGCTAATTTGATTCTGAACCTGTCCTTCGGCACTTGCATTCAGCGAAAATCCACCCTATAATGACAAACTCTTTCATTGCATTGAATGTGCTGGAGCATGATTCGTCGATGCTAGCACATGCTCATGAAGGATTTGCAGACCCTGTTGAAAAACTGTAATACACTTTGCAGTCTTCGCTGGCAAGGCTGTCACACTGGCTGGGCGCACATAGAGTGCAATAATCTTGACCATGCCAACAGCCACCTTTGACAGGAACTCTTTGCTGCTGGGGCAAGTCAGGTTCAGGACAAGGCATCTTTGGTGTAGTGATAAAGCAGCAATAACACTCTAAATGGCTCATGGCCCTTTTGCGTGTGTCCAGTTTGTGAGATGCAGCCACATTGCAAAAAGACCAAAACCTCCAAAAAATTCATCACAGGCAACATCCTGGCTGGGTGGTCATACCACTGTTGATTTCTTGGAGCTCAAGCTGAATATTCGCTCTTCAAGTTTTGGCTGCCGCGGCTTTCTGCGAACACTGTCCTTGGCAGACAGGAAGCCATCAAATCCCTGCACAGCATCAGAAACAGTGTCTCCGCTGGTCAAGTTGTTAATCAATGCATCACAGTGACAAAACAGCCTTTTCTTGAGCTTCACCTCGTAGGTGCACAGGCACAAACTGCCAATGCAAATACATGGAAGGGAATGTGGCCAATAGACCCTGGCATTGCATGGAGGGAGCCACACCCCATGCCCATACACAGGCATTCATATCCTGGACATCCTTATCATTTGCACACCAGAGCAAAAGAATATATAAGAATAACTATTACCAGAGGCCTTAGCCAGTTACCTTCAGCACATTCCCCAACTGGCTGGAATCGCATGTCAGGTAGGCGTATTCTGCATCAGCAATCTGCACAGCCCCACATCAGCACAGGTGCCACAGCATGCAGTTTGGAGGCAGGCAGCCGTCTGGACATCCAGGAAACACGCCCAAGAATGCAACAGGCACTGGGGGAGGCCAAAACAAGGCAATGAGGGCCCCAGACACCACAACAGCAGGCAAATTTGCAACAGTGCGATCAAGCTATAACATCAGGGCGAAAAGAACACTGCTCTGGAATTCATGCCCAACATCGCCTCTCTACCAAGGGCAGTGTTTTGTCATGCTTATGTGACAAATGCAATCAAAGGATTTGAGGACGAAAAGAGAACAGCAGGGGAGCAATAGCGACTTAATTGAAGGGCACGGTGCCACGAGCTTTGCTGCATATCCACCCGGGGGCCCAGAAATCCACCTCAAGATGGGAATGTGGAACTGCCCGGCCCTCCCACCAGAAGCACAGCAAAAGGCCTCGCCAAACCGGCCCAGCGTCGAGAAACACCACGCGATCCGCAACCAGCTCCCAGATGGCCACACCACAATTGCGCCAACCGATGACCAGGCCTGCGGCCCCCCTCGCAGACCGAGGATGGGTTCCCGCGAGACACGCCGGCTTCGCCCCGTTCGAGGCGTTGAAAACCATCGCGCCGCGTCGGACATTCGAACAGCGAATTCCCTGGGGGGCTCGAGCAGATTCAAATCGCTGCGGATCGCCCTGAGCGGCGCAGCGCAAGCCGCGAGGGAGAAGAGGGAGGAGACGCAGAGCGGCGGAGGGGGCCAACCGGGGGCCACCTTTGACTCCAAGTCCTCGAGGTCCCTTGCGTTTTGCTCCCGGAGCTTCCTCAGCTGCTCGGCGGGTGAGGTCGTCATGGGTGCCGGGCGGCTGGCTTAAGTGGTGCGTCGGGCCGGATGACAGGGCGGCCAGCCAGGGCGCAGGGGCCCGGTGGGCGTGGCAGCCCCTCAGCCGCGCGGCCCTGGCGGTCAATTGGCGGAGGGGGCGCTGACGCAGCCACAGGGCAACGGCGGTCACTCGAGTGTCTTGGGGGGCGTGGTTTGGGTTGAGTGTTGTTCGACGGATTGTGGGGTGTGGGGGCGGCGAGAAAGTGTCGGTGTGCGGGTCGCTGCCGCGAGGCTGCGGGACGGCAGGTAGAGGCGGATGCGGGGATGTCAGCGTCTGCCCCGAACGCGGTCTGTTGCACCTTCCTCATAATGGCCACAAGATGACGAAGATGATCGAAGATTGACGCAGGGAATTGTTGTAGAGACGGGCTGGTCACATCAGGATGTAAAGACAGCCATTTAAAATATTTGCAGCAGTAGTACTCCACGCGCTTGACCAACAAAGCTAGCAGCGTGTTTTTCACAGTACTCCCGTGCATTGGCTGCGTTCATGATCTATAAAAGGCAGCAGTACACTTCCCACCGTACTCGCAGTAGTACTAAGTGGTGGTTAGTGTTAAACTGGGCAGAAAACTGCTGCCCTCGGAACACACGAGATGCTAACTCAATGAGAGCTTCATTCACATCATCTATGTGCCGGTATTGGTCAGCCATACACACCAAGGCATGCCAGCCCTTAGCCAACCTTCCACTTATAATAAACCCCACAGAAATATAGCTTTACTACATTTTTAAACATGTACATGCAAACTGCCCAACTTCCACACCATAAATCTGTCAGTGTAAGCAAATCAGACAGGGATGGACCAGTTTGACACTCAAAGACTCCAGCCCCGCAATCAGCAACCTTCCAAGAACCTTCTCACCATAAAAACATGCAGTATTCTTTCATGTAAGCACCTACTACATAGTTTCTATGCACACATAACTAAATGCAACCCAAGTTACAAGCACTTGTTGTGTTACATAACACACATGCAGTAACTTGCATTCTGCATCCAGAAAGTCCCTTGGGAGGTGCTGACCCTGCCCTTTGTCATGTATGAAACACACAGCCTCACTTACCTCCTACTCCCAATCAGACAGAACTGACCTTCGGTGAATCCCCAACAGCCAGGGCATTAGCCCCCCATCTGGCATGCATTGTTTGCGTTTATAGGGTAGCTTAGCCGGTTGCCAGTCTCCTCAGACCGAAACACAGATTCACAAGGTGGTAGCAAAGAGGCAACAAAGGTTCTATCAATTATTGTTCGTTACACGGCTTTGTTCGACAAAAGGTACTCGTTCAAACCGCCACACATTTAAACTGCCCCTTTATACCCGCACTGGGGCCTCTCCACTTCTCCCTCTTCCCGGTCTACCACTCTTTTCCCCCGGTCAAGTTACACCGATAACCCAGTATCTATTACACCAGCTACTACCTACCCTAACTACCCCTTTACACAGCACAACTACCCGGTTCACTCTACCCCTCACTCCGCGGTCCGCCACCGCTTCCACTCAGTTCCAGCCCCTGCATCCTCCTCACTCCGCCCGCGCTTCGTTCCCTATGCCGCCTCCACTATCCGACCCGTGTAGGCTTGCACTCGCTGATCCTTGAGTCTGTTGAACTCTGCCCAATGGCGGTTCAACCGCTGCAACCCATATGCGCTATTCGCCTCGTACTCCGCGGTAAGCGGCATGTCAAACCGGACGAGGAGTACCTCCTCGCCGGTTTCTTCCTCCAGCTGTGGACCCCACTTCTGCACCACCTCTGCCCCGTGGTTTGCCAGCCATTGCGCGACCGCCTCGAGGTAGGCTTTCCTACTCAGGCCAGCAGCCTATTCCTCCGCCGAGCGTGCTCCAAGCTGCTCGGTCCCCGGCAGTGATTGCATCCTGTCGCGGCACACGGCTCGATTCTTGAGATCGGATGGGTTGTGGCCATCCCTCTGCTCTCCCATGCGCCCACTTTCCAGGCTGCGCACATTCCTTTCCATGCTTACCTCCTTCACGCCGTCCCTCTCCACTATTCGGCCTCCCAATTGGCCCACCATTCGCTCCTCCGCCTTTGCAATCTGCAGTGCCTTCCAATGGAGAATGGCGCGCACCTTCCATTTCCGGTCACCTTCGTGCGAAAGACCGGTGCTGAAGAGTGCAAGGGTTGCGCCCGCCTTCGCCACCTCGGCGCGGAGGGCATTGTGCCACCACTCCAACGGGAGTGCGCCCTTATTCGTTTTGGTCGCCATTCGGTTGGCTTCATGGGCAGTTGGATAGTGGGCCAGTAGTTTGCATCCCGTGGCTATGCTGCAACATGGAAAGACCATAGCTGGCTAGCCCGGTGGTCACGCTTTCCGGTCACACAACGGTTTCCAAGGTAACCCCTCACAGTCGCACAGCGCAGGCTGGGGAACCCAGCGTGTTGTCCATGGAACGGTTAGTGGTGCAACACAGTTACAACGCAACTCGAACTAGTGTTGCGTGTTGTCACCACACTGTAGCCGTGAATTCCACCCTTTTCCTTGCGTTCCACCTTTACTAGTACTAAACTATTGGCTTTGAGTGAATAAACATGTTTTTAACATGTCTCCCAAGTTGAAAACGGGATGCACATGTTTTTCCTTTATACTGCACTTTGTTTTTCTCCTTCTGGGCTGTCAAACCGTTTCTTTTCAATGTATCAAATTCAGCTCATTTTGTTTACCATTTCTGCAAAGATAGCTTAAATTGTTTACCATTTTGCAGCGTGCCGAACAGGTCCGAACTGGCGAACGCAGCTTTTTGTGGGCAGCGGACCGCTCTCTTTTGCAACAATGCCAGCCCACTCATTTTTGTCATTGTGAATTATCCCTTTTGTAGTGTTGTTCTTTGTTGCGACAATGCCTTTAGAACTATTTTTTTCTGCGATAGTGTTAAGCCACCTTTTCGCGACAATGGTAAGGACTAGAATGCAAAATTGATAATATCAAGCCCACTGGTTCACAACCTACACTGGCTTCTATGATCATTCCACATTGCAGCGAAGGCGCTAGTTGTGTACCCATTAGAGGTCATGTGGAGAGGAAGTCATAAACAACAAGTTTAACAACTAGCAATATTTGTTGTGTCGTGATTGTTGCCACTATGCCTGTTCAATTTCAAATATATCCATTCCAGTTATTATCTATTTTGCAATTATGCAAAATAACGTTGATCATAATTTTCAAAAATATGCAGAGGTTATTTGTCTTCTGCTCCATATGTGTTACGAATAGGATGTGGGTGTGGGGTTCCTGCCCTCTTTGAGCCGCGGACCCGCCTCGCCGGGCACCTAGGTCCTTACAGGGCACCTAGGCGGGACCACCCCTCCTACTCCCGTATCCTAATATGGATAAAGGTTACAGTGGGTGAGGAATAGTACGTGCCTTGGGCAGGGCGTCCCCACACCAAGGGCCATTAGTAGGACGTCTCCCACATCAGGCTGGTGCGCGTAACATTCGTCCCCCTCAGGGAGAGGGGCGTCCTCGTCCCAGTATAAGTGAATCCGGGAGCAGAAACATTGTATGTATGTTGGTGGAACTGGCTGTGCGATTTGCCACATGCCCAGTTAACAAAACACAACACACAAAACAGTTTTGGATGAAGAGAAAGAGTGGTTGTTTTACATGACCGTCCCGGTCTTCACAACCCTCATTAAAACTCTTCCTCAGCCAAGTGGCTGGAAATGTTTGACCTCCCGGCCTTTCATCGGCGACCACGATGCCGAGTACCACCAAAAGCCCACGCCGGTACAGATCGGACCGGTGCGGCACCCCGCCGTCGCCCACGTCCGCGTGCACGCTCAGGCGCACGGGGAAATGGCACGTAGGGGTCGGCGGTCTCCAACCTCTCCCCGTTGAGGATCGCAGCGGACATGGCGTTCATGTGTCCAAACTGCGACCTTGCACGGGGGGCAGTATACCCAGTGTTTTTCTGGGCCCAGCGCAAGAGAACCTGTCAAAAGCATAAGCACACATGAGCATGTTTCGGTATGTACATCCCGTACTTCATGCAGTTTGCATTCGCATCACAGGTGTTCTGCCATTTTCAAATGCTTGAACCAATTCATATCCCAGCCATTTGACAAAGTACTCAACATAGTTTTTGCGTCTCCCACGCTTTTTAATCCTTTTGTCAAGGATACGTTCAACTTCATACTCCAGTTCACCTTCGATCTCGATAGGTACTGGGGGTGGCTGTACTCTGCCACTTGCCTTATAAGGCTTAATCTTCGATACATGAAATACTAGATGTATCCTATGCATGCTGTCCGGGAGTTCTAGTCGATATGCGACAGAACCTATCCGGTCGAGGATGGTGAAGGGCCCAATCCACCTCGGTAATAGTTTTCGAGTCCCGGGGTGTTTGAGAGTAATATGCTGTGTCGAAAGGAGGACGTCATCTCCTTTACTAAACGACACCTCTCTTCGATGGCGGTCAGCATGCTTTGACTGCCTATCTCGTGCTTTCTCTAAGCACGCCCTGGCCTCTTTCAGCGCTGATTGGACACGGTGATCAAATCGTGTCACTGCTGGTAATCCCTCCACGAGGGGTGTACCAGATTGCCTCAAATAAGGCTGCTGCGCCCTTTCAATGGCCACTGCCAAGCCGCGGGCATTCGGATTGTCATAGCCCTTTAATGGCTTCCGAATTTGCACACCAAGAGCTAAGGGACTCTTTGGGTGCCTCCCGTAATTCAGATAGAACGGGGTTTCTTGGGTGGAACTGTTTTTCGAGTTGTTCATTGCAAACTCGGCCATGGCTAACAGTTCATCCCACGCGTCATGGTCAGAACGCGTATAACTGCGTAAGTAGTCCTCCAGAACCCGATTCATGACTTCGGTCTGGCCATCCGTCTGTGGATGGTACGCAGTGCTCATGTTGAGCTGGATCTTCCACCTCTCGGCCAGGTACCGGTAAAACCTGGAAGTGAACCGAACGTCTCTGTCGGACACTATCTGAGAGGGGAGGCCGTG